CGTGAAAGAAAACGTTGAATTGTAACGTCGAATGTTTTTCATGAAGTGTTTGCTTTTTGAATCCATATTTCGAAACATTCTTTCATAAGTAGGGAGTGCATTCTTTAAATCTGGAAGTTGAACTTTGTTGTAACCACAACATAATTAATAATCCGTGTTCCCATTTTCTTTACCTCTAATAGATTCATTTCTCCATAACTTTGCACGACATGTTTGACATACAACATCTTGATCACCATGATCCAAATATTCTGTAAAATAAAAGCGTTGAATAAAATATCAATAAATTTTATGATTATATACAACATACTATCTGAAATGTAAAATGGATTTTATTTTTTGATTACCATTTGAGATACCAACTATAAGATTTTCATTGTTCACTTGATGTATATTTTCTACATCTTCTGTCAAATCAATCAATGGGATAGGGGATAAATGTCTTGTCTTCGTTTTTAATTTATGACATCCTGGATTTACCTTGATTGATGATGAAGAAATTGTTACTGTAGATGCATTTTTTGATGTCATATCATTTGAAAGTACATGATACTGTCTTTTCTTTGCTAACTTGGAAGTGATATATTTATCGAAACCGATGTTATCTGAATAAAAAAAATAAAATAGTTAAATATATATATATATATATATATATATATATATATATCCCGATTATATACATAATGGATAATAGTATATTTTAAAAACCATAAATAATTACCATTTGTAATGTTAGATAACGGATTTATAACATTTGTAATGTTAGAAAATGGAGTTCTAACATTTGTAAAGGAAGGACAGTATTGTATGGTTGTGTTATGCTTTGCAGGTGTTGTAAATGAATTGACATTTTGAGTTTGACGAACAATGTTGGTTGATTGATCTGCAAATAGAAATAACTTATAAAACTTGTAAATATATGTATTCAACTATATAACAGTAAAAGATAGAATATAAAATACTAATACGGTTATAGTTAATGGTATTTTTGAAGAGATGCTATAATGATGTACTTGGAACGTTTGATGTTGTTTTTATTTTCTTCGATCTTTTATTTTCCAAATATATTTTTCTTTGTCTTCTTTTCTCTCTGGCTTGCATGTGGTACATGTTACTGTTGCTTTCTGCATAAGAAGACATAGGTTAGGAAATGAAATGTGAAATTATGTACATAATATGTTTATATAATACAATTGAAGTTAGTTAGAATTAAATAAATAATGATAATAAAGTAAATGTATTTAAAAAGTTACCTTTATTAATTTGTTTATTAAAATGTGTAACAAAATTTGCAAATATTAATTTACTCTTTTATAATATATTTTAAACAAATTAGTCAATCGAAGATTTTTAAAATACTAAATAGTATAAAATAGATATTATATATTTGTTTATATTGTGTAAAAGAGACTTTAAATAAAAATATTAAAGTTAACATGAGTCGGATTGTAGATATGGGTCCGAAAATAAGATTTGAAGCGGAATCTTGTGTTGTAGTTGCAGAAATAACTCCATCAAAAGAAGTCTGGATGTTTGTTTACAACGACTCCAATCTTCCATAGACGGTCGTCGAAGATTAGTAGTCAATGACTGCCCTCGATTCCCCCTAAATCGATCGCAATCAACAATGCATGAAAGGGAACCTAGAAAATCATGGAGATCTACGATACCGTGTAATCGTCCGATTTGGTCTCCGTCAGGATTGAAAAATACGATCCGAAGGTAGACTCTCCTTCTTCCTGTGCCACAATCAATTATTTCCCTGATGAGCATCATGACTCATCATACTCATTTCCAACCTAGGGTTTATTCGATTTACATCTGCTGTTTCCCCAATTTCAACCAATCGTGGGTTCGGATGATATCAGGGGTTAAAACCCTAGATCTCCATGGAAACAATGAAGGTAAAATTGTGTGATACACGAAAATCGTGATGATTATAAATTGCTTATTGATCTTAAACATCTATTCCCGCTTATTTTTTTACAGTTAGAAAAACATCTATTCCAGCATATTGATTATTGTTGTAAATTCCAACCATAAATTCATAGAGAAAACAAAGTGATCTAAACTCATTATACTAACCTGACATATGGATATGGAAATCTTGCAGGTAGAACTGGAATGAGGATTAGGACTTTAATGAAGCAGTTTGATGTAAGTTTAATGAAAAAAGAATCGCAGAAGCAATTGAACATTAAGAAGACGAATGAGGAGTTTCAAAATTTTGGATTTCACGTTTTGAGGTAAAGTTATATATATATATATATATATATATATATATATATATATATATATATATATATATATATATATATATATATATATAGGAAAAAGATTACGATTTTATGATTTTATTGTTGTTGGATCTTTATTAGATAAAATTTTGTTCCTGATTTTTTGGAATATAAATGATTACAACTAAAAATTAGTTTAATATTCGAATTTCATCTAAAAAGGGAGTATAGAATATTAGGAAATAGTAAATTGAATATACGTTATTTATAAAAGATAAGTAAATATGCTGCAACCATTACAAAAATGTATGAATTAATTGAAGAGAATCAAAGATATAAATTTTGTTTACAATTGGTTATTGATTATTTATTAAAAATAACATATTTATCGTGAGAAAAATAATAGTTATTCATAAGTCATTACACATGCTGCAGAAGGAGATTTTTAAAAAATAGGTCATTCAGAACCTTGTTTCTTGATCGATCAAATAGATAGAAGTGGATTGTCCTTTCTACCTGAAAACTGGCAAGTTAAGAAATTTGATTTGTTAATTTTAAGTTACTGAATAATGTGTGGAAATTTTATTTATTTTTGATATAGTTGCAACATAAACATTATTGTACTTTGAACTTTATCTTAGTAAGACATTGTACTTTTAAAATTTTACCCAATTTAAACATTTAATTTACCCTTTTGTCTAATTTTAACTAAATATGCTATCGACATGTAATTCCAGATTTGGGCTATTTTTATCAGTTGGATCTTTTTCTTACAATTCAACATACACAAAGATTTTGTATGTTGTCTCAGTTAAAACATCAGAATACATTTTTAACCTGCGGTTTTCTAATATGTCTGTTTTGTTTTGATATGACAACTCATTGCATAACTACTTCAAAAAAACGACTGATTATGTTTCCACTAGATTCTCATACAAATAAAATAAAATAAACTAAATTTACTATTATACCTTCACAAAATAGACTACTAATTTGACAATTTAAATATTTTTTTGGGAAAATTATGAGACTTCTAACCTAAAAAACTAAACTCCTTTTTCAGGATCATATCTATTTATGATATCCAACATAACAGAAATTTGTCCCAATTATGATGCAAACATGTCATGAAATGGAATTTCGAATTCCAACTCTGTTGGAATTCGCGGTTCCATTTCTTACCTACAGTTTTAACATGTATGTTATTGTTCTGATATTGCACCTCATTGCAAAACTGCTTAAAAAAAAACGTAATATGTTCCATTGTACCTTGTAAGTTTAAAAAACATATATTATAATAATGGAAAGATAATGTTGTTTGTCCAAAAAATAATTCATGACTTTGAAAAATATCATGATTCACAAAAACATATAAAAAAAGTTACACATACATAGACAAACACATATATTTATAAAATTAAACTAAAAGATGATAAATTACGGATATACCCTTAATGGTATATAATGAGAAAAAAACTAAAAATCAAAAACTAAAAAGAAATAACATGTATATTTAACAAACAAAATTAGGATATAAACAGGAAAATCGTAAAAACAGATACACATACATAGACAACCACATATATTTAGAAAATTAAACTAAAAGATGATAAATTACGGATATACCCTTAAGGGTATATAATGAGAAAAAAACTAAAAATCAAAAACTAAACAGAAATAACCTGTATATTTAACAAACAAAATTAGGATATAAACAGGAAAATCGTAAACCACTAATTGATTTATATATTTAATTATCACCTGTAAACATACTTTTCAAAAATAGATATAAACAGAAAAATTATGATCCGCAAAAACAGATATAAATAGATACGTACATATAGACAATAACACATATATTTAGAAAAATAAACTAAAAGATGATCAATTCCAGATTATAGTATTGCAATTTGAGAATAGATTACTAAAAATGGGATATAGTGTATTAGGAACTTTAAAATGAAATTTGTATTTTTTTTGTTTATTATTTAAACAAGTTTGATAAATCACATGAATAAATCAAATTCCTGTGCTTATCTGTTTTTTTTTTTGTTCTTTCTAGTTTACCTCCAAAAATAAATCTTTTTACAATTTTGGTCGTTATGTTAATGGTTTCCCAACACTTTTGGTCGCTGAACCATCAACTATAACAACCCAACTGTAAAATTTATGAAAATGACCGTTTTGCCCTTGTATAATTTATCGCATCTGTTTTTCATGGTCAAGGAGTATAATTAAACCCCAACACAATCCATCTCTTTCCTTGAGAAAACCTAATAACCGATTTCAACGAAATCCTATAAATCAAAGTCAAACCAACCCAAATTCAAAGTTAAAGATATAACACCAAAGTTATAAACCAAAACAAATTGTAATAACAAAATCAAAGCAATGAAGAACAGAAGCACATGGACACATAATTCTAAACCAAATTCAACTAACTTCTCCATTTTAAAACAAAAAAATATCCAAAAATATTCAAAACCAATAATATTTAACATCCTAAATATCCCAAAATAAAAATCATACCAAGCAATCAAAATATCTTTAAAACAAAAACAAATGATCAAAATATATTAAATGCGTGTTATAACCAATACCATCTCACTTCTCCATTTTTGGAATTAAGAGTGGAGCTTCCTCTCCAGTTGACTTTCTTTTAGACTTAGTGCAATTTAAATCATCTCCAGAATCAACATCATAAATTTCTTGGAGGTTGCACTTTAAAGAACTTGATATTTTGCTTGGACTTGTTGCGGTTGACTAATCAATTGTTGAGGGTGTAAGACTTTCATCTGTTTGTGAGATCACATCCTAATTTAAATAAAATAATAATAAGTGTTTAATTCCAAAAAAACCCTAATATAAATAAAAGTTAATAAAATGAATTGAAAAACCTTTTGAACAGACTGTACAACATCATCGGATTCCAAAGCAACTTGATTTAAGGAGACAGATTAAATACTCTAAAAAATAAAATTGAAATATGTTAATCGTTATGTATTTTAACAGTAAAGAATTATAAATGTTCAACAATAAAAACTTACATACCATAAGTTCTATTTTACTTTCCAATTCAGAAACAATGGACATATCTTCTGTAACTCTGAGAACTGTGTAGATATTATTATAGTTGTTGACATTGTATTCTGTAATATCTACAAGAAAACCAAACTTGCGGTTTTTCAACACGTTAAGTTGCATTGGAAATAGTCCATCACTGTCTCCAGCCTGTAAGATATATTTAAATAAATTAAAAAAAAGTAAATGTTTTCTGATTTTAAGATATGAATAATATACCGCATCATGTATTTTTTTCAACTCGTATGCACTTATATTTTACAGCCTCTTTGCTTCCCTATCAAAAAGAGTCAATCCAATGGTTCCAGTACAATCTTGTATGTTGATTGGAATTATATACCTAAAATAAAAAAAATTATGTCATTGTTAGTGTTGTTTTACAGATTGATAAAATTAATAGAAATAAATATGTGTTTACTTTATAACTGTTTGAATTTCGGATTTTTTGCATTGTGCATTTGTACACCCGACAACCATAGTTTCTGAAATTTTTTCAGGGTCGGTATACGAATGATTGGCTTTGGGAACAGGGATTATTTTTTTCCACATTTTTTGCATGTTTCATAATACCATGGTAGATTATGTCTTATATTAACAATTGAAGCAACTAATAAAAACTTCATTTCCTGTATCAAATTAAATGTAAAAGTTATTAAAATAAATTATGAAAAAATAATTTGTAAAACATATCAAATAATGCAATATACCTTAATTGGTTCCGTGATCTCACAGATTGTTTTTAATGGAAAATTGCCCTTAAAGTCATCTGTATATGAAGAAGAGTAGCTTTGAAGTGTAGTTATGCTTTTTTCACTTATACTGATTAACTTATTTTTAAACTCATTTATTTCATAAATGTCGGAATTTATGAACAATTTCGTTACTTCAAAATGACTTTTAGCTTCACCAATACATGTAATAAATGTATACCCAATTAATAAAAATTATAAATAAACAATAATTATAAACATATATATATATATATATATATATATATATATATATATATATATATATATATATATATATATATATATATATAAAGAGTGAATACAAACCATTCCAAATGTTTAGCTTCAAAAACTGCATCACGATAACAACACAATTAACCGTCGGGTTATTTTGTAGGTATTCTGACATTTGATATGTTTGACTTCCAAAAATAGTAACCTTCAGATGTACGGAACTAAATAAACCAAAAAATCGTATATTAATATTAATTTGTGATTAATTAAAGATAATAAATAAATAATAATTTAATATAATCTCACTCTAGGTTGCTAAGAGTGAGTTTTATATAATGCTTCGATGCTACTGGATTTGAAGTTTCAAGAGGCCTAAATGACACGATCTGTCCAATAACATCTACACAAAAGATAACACAAGATAAACTATAGCATTAAAATCGTAATATTTAAATAATAAAATGTATAACCAAAAACACAACTGATAAAAAATGATTTGATTAAAATTTAATAACTAACCAAGAAAATTTTCTCTTAGGCATGTTTGTTTGATGATAGAATTAAAGTCAACAAACATAAATCCATTGACCGGACCCGAGAAATGATCACATTTTTTTAGGATGCTTTTCCAATCCAAAGTTAAGGTCTGTTTATGACCTGTATAACTAAAACCATTCGTAACAACAGCTATATTTGGTTTTATAACTATATAACTTTCATCTTCCTTTAAGAGATGACGAAATCTGGAGAAATTCTGATTAAAGACACGAGCATGGTATTGTGTACCCTGTTTAAAAAAAAAATTAAAAATTATTATTTTGTTGAAACATGTGTAATATTGAATGATGAATAAAAAATATATGAAATACAACAAACCTCCTCGTCCATCAGGATCATTTCAATTGAACAAACTTTATTATTTCTGATAAAGTTCCAAATTTTAAGGACCCGAACTTTGATATATAATTTTTCATCTATCTGATCAATGTTATTTAGGTAAACTTTATTTCCTATATTCATTTTCTGCAAGAAAATTTAAACCATATAGAATTGTAAGGAATATTACCAACCTTCAACAATGTACAGAACATCCAAACTAACAACTAAAACAAAAAATTCGTAAATAAGCACATGACAAAATCAAATAATTCATATGAAATAGTATTTTAAAAATGACAGCAAAACAATATATTTAACATGTAGATATATTTAAATATAAATTTAACATATAAACAATAATTATACCGACAATGTCCCTGCAACTCACTAATAGATAACATAAAAATTAGTAATGGTAATGTAGATATCTTTAATTTGTACTGCTAAATGGTCGTTTATTCATCTAACTTCATATGTAAATACAGAAAGTAATAAGAATTAAATCATATTATAGTTAACAATAACAGCTTTAGATCTGAATAAGAATAATAATTTTATTTAAAGAAAATGAAGCTTTCATGTTCATTAGTTTTTTCGTCATCATCTGAATAAGAATAATAATTGACATCATAAATTAGGTTTAACTTAGCAGCAAATCAAAGTAAATGAAACAGCAAAACAAAAAAAACATATTGTAATAATTAAAGCTTTGAAGAACAGTTTTTTTTAAAGAAAATCATGTTCTCATTTTTATTACTAATTTCGTATTCGTATTTCGTATTTTGTTATAATTTTCATTACCAACCTTCAACAATGACAACAAAACAATATATTTAACATGTAGAAATATTTAAATATAAAATTAACATATAAACAATAATTATACCGACAATGCCCCTGCAACTCACTAATAAATAACATAAAAATTAGTAATGGTAATGTAGATATCTTAAATTTGTACTGCTAAATGATCGTTTATTCAATTAATCTGTTTATAATAAAATGGAATCCAAACAAAAACCAATAATTCATATCAAATTATTTTATATCAAGTTCTCAGTTATATTACTAATTCCGTATTTTATTATCATTTTCATTAACATTTACGTCTTTTAAACTGAAAAGGTAGAAGAAGAACATGACTAAGAAGAATTAGCAAAAGGAAGAAGAAGAACATCACTAATAAAATGAAAAATGATAGAAACTGGTAAATCAGACAATTAAGAGGTTAGAAATATTAGTAATGCTGATATTTTAATACACTAACCTGATATTATAATTTTTGAAGCGTTGCAGAATCAAGAAGAATACGTTTGCAAATATTACTATGGAGCAGAATTCTTCTGGAGCAGAATGATAAAAAGAAAATAACCGTATGAATGCTATTTACGTTTGAATAAATAAGAATAAGAATTAAGAAGATTACGTTTGAAAAAGAATAATATTGCAGATTTTTAGGGATTTAATTTGCAATCAAAATAAACAAACTTTCAAAATTAATGCGTGTTTTTCGAATATGAAGATTGATTAACATATTTTTTCAATGTATTTCCATATCTTTTATTCATTTAAAATTTTTGGTTTAATATTTTGAAAAGATTTCTTTGCAGATTTTTCCGGAATTGTTTCATTTAGATTCTATGGCATTTATGTAAATATAGATTAATAAAATGAGCGGGAAAACTCTATTTTGGGGGCCTTGGAGAATACCACGTGGCCGAGTTCTACTTATTTATTAGAATTAGGATTTAAGAAAAAAAATCCATAATATAAGATTACACTAGATAAAAATTAGATTATCCATCAATATATATTTAATTAATAACACCGATCTAGTTTAATATTTAATTGATTTTGATATAATTAACTACAATCAACTAGATTGAATTGCTAAATACTAATCATAATCATAATTTCTAATAGATAATTCAACTAGATCAGTTCCATTCAAAGCCTCAAAGGCATTGAAGGTGAAACCGACCCGGCCCAACATCATGCGTGGAAATAGGCCTATTATAATTTTACTTTTCAATAAGTGGATTTCCCCTTTTCATCGTCTTCACTCAGAGACAACGAAACTCCACATAAAACCATACCCGATCGGAACCCTAGAATTGCAAAAATTAATCAGACTCGTCATCGTATTCGTTCGCCGGCGAAGGTTTTGGATGCTTAGGTTTCACAATTCAATTACCACTCCAGATTTAATAGATTTAGTAATTTATCAATGGGAGCCAGTAGAAAGCTTCAAGGTGAGATCGATCGAGTCCTAAAAAAAGTTCAAGAAGGTGTTGATGTTTTCGACAGCATATGGAACAAGGCATGCGTAAATGTTTTTAATTTTCTTTGAATTATTGACGTTATTGGTTTTTGTGTAATCTTAATGCTGAAGTTTCATGTTCGCATGTTGAATTTCGTATTTTAGGTATACGATACTGACAATGCTAATCAGAAGGAGAAGTTTGAGGCCGACTTGAAGAAGGAGATTAAGAAACTTCAGAGGTACAGAGACCAGATTAAGACATGGATACAGTCCAGCGAGATCAAGGATAAGAAGGTCATTTATGTTTCCATTTGTATTCCTTCTTCTTACTCTTCCCTCGCAAGCATGTCTCAGTCGCTGGTTACCCAGTCTAGTTGCCTTACGAAACAAATTCTGCTCACCAACAGTGAAGAATCATCTAAAGTTGCTTAATGCCTACTTTGCACTATTCAAAAGAAGATTTTGTATGACAAATGATAATTTGATGTACATTTGCGTATGCATTTGATTAGCATCACATACCATCTAATATTGTCTGGTGACTAGTTCTATGCTGCTTAACATGAAAGGAATATGAATATAAAAGGCCATGAGGAGTTGACATAGTGTTTCTCACTAAGAGCATGGTCTGAAGAAAAACAAGTTGCTTACTTGCTTGTTGTGTTCTCTGGTTCACATACATGAAACATATGCTATCTTCCATTGGTGATTGTCTATTGGCACTTATACTTTCTGTTATTGCTGCCACACTATCTCAAATTTAATCTGGTTTTAGCTTCTATGCTAAGAATTAGATGCCTCTATCTTGTTTCATCTACTTCCTTATTGACATCTGTTTCTTCTTTCTGATACGTGTTGACGTAGGTTAGTGCCTCTTATGAGCAGGCTCTGATGGATGCCCGCAAGCTTATTGAGCGAGAAATGGAACGGTTTAAGATTTGTGAAAAGGAGACAAAGACAAAAGCTTTCTCCAAAGAAGGCCTTGGACAACAGCCTAAAACGGTATCTATTGCTTTGCTTTTTTTGCATAGGGTACATGGAAATAACCTTCAGTCATTGTATAGTGAAGTATCCTTTTTGATGATATTTTGTAGGATCCAAAGGAGAAAGCCAAGTCAGAGACTAGAGATTGGTTGAACAATACGGTATAACACTACACTATACTACTGCCTTTATAGCATTATACTAGTACTTTAAAGGCCTCCCTTTGTTTTATTATTTACATATATGGATCCTCATTTAGACATTATGTATGACAATGCTTATTATTGGTTAGGTGTCTGAGCTGGAATCTCAAATCGATAGCTTTGAAGCTGAGATGGAGGGGCTATCTGTTAAGAAAGGAAAAGCAAGACCTCCAAGACTGGTAATATCAATATAGTGAATAAAGATTCAGTTTCTTTAAATTTTCACCTTGTAATAGGCTCCATTTATTCAATATCTACCTTACAGTTGATAATCTGATGGATGTCTTTCGCTCTTTTGTTTGATAGACACATTTAGAGTCATCAATTGTTCGACACAAGGCTCATATAATGAAGCTAGAGTTGATATTACGGTTGTTGGATAACGATGAATTGAGCCCTGAACAAGTCAATGATGTTAAGGACTTCATTGATGACTATGTGGAACGAAATCAGGTCATCATATACTTTTTTCCCTTTCACATTTTCTCAATAGTTTCTTTGAAGTTCTCTCCATCTTGTGGTTTTCACTTTTCACAAAGCATCTAAAACAACCATTTCATCTGCAGGAGGATTTTGATGAGTTTGAGGATGTTGATATGTTATACAACACCTTATCACTAGACAAAGTAGAAGCACTTGAAGATCTTGTTATCATTGGTCCACCTGGCCTCGTTAAGGTAAAAACATATCTGTTGTTTAAAAATCAAAACCCTACTTGCTGAATTTATATTCCATTCATCATCTAGAAACTAGTTCCAATTAGAAACCATGTCAACTTAGTCAAGTTAGTTGACTTAATTGCCCTATGTAGAAGGAATTCATATGAAGAAAAAATTTCATGAAAATAATTGTTTTGGCAGGGTGTTGGTGCTACTGTTGCTGTTTTAAGTACGAAAAATGCTTTGTCTTCACCTCCAGTTCAGTCACCGGTATGTCAAATGACAAATCTACCCCCATAGGACACCTCCCCATGTTGCCATAGCCCATATGCATAGAAAGACATAATATTGTGTATTCTTTTTTGTGTTTTTTTGATTTATGGAAAAAATATATTCAACAGGGAGCTTCAGTACAGGAACAAACTGAGGAGACATTATCCCAGGAGAATATATCAGAGCATGGGCCACGGACCCCACCACCAAAAGCCATTGCCATCTCATCATCTCCTCCAACACCATCCGGGACCCACGCAACCACCCCTATTACTGTCCCCACTCCATCTCATAATCTCACGACCTCTTCAGTCCCTCCAAGTCCAAGTCCGGTGAGGGGCGTTTTAGACAATTCAGTTTCAGTCTCCAGCATCCCTTCCTCACCTATAAACAAGGAAGAAGAAGTTGGTGGATTCCCTGTTCGTAAATCATCTCCCGCTCTTAGTGAATCCGGATTAAGGAATCTCGGGAGGGGCAGTTTGACCAGCTTGACCAGTCAATCCTCAGTTACTCTCCCTATCAACCCTACGAACAGTAACATTATTTCTACCAATAATGCCCTTGGTGTTGCTCAAGCTTCGGAAATGGCTAAGAGACCTATGTTAGGGACAGATGAGAGAATGGTTCAGCAGCATCCTCCTGTTTCATCTTTGAGTAGCAGAATCATGTTGCCACAAAGTGGTGTGAAAACTAGTGATGGTGATAATGGAAATGGTGGTGATGCTGGTGGCATGGGCACAAGAGTCTTTTCACCTTCTGGTGTTCCTGGCATTCAGTGGAGACCTGGAACTTCCTTCCAATCTCAGCATGAAGGGGTA